AAATCATCAGGTAACCTACAAGGGAAAACCTATCAGATTAACAGCAGATTTCTCAGCAGAAACCTTACAAGGTAGAAGGGATTGTGGTCCTATTTTTAGCCTCCTAAACAAAACAATAATCAGCCAAGAATTTTGTGTCCAGTGAAACTAAGCTTCATAAATGAAGAAAAGATACAGTTTTTTCCAGATAAACAAATGCTGAGAGAATTTGCCACTACCAAGCCAGCACTACAAAAACTGCTAAAAGGAGCTCTAAATCCTGAAACAAATCCTCAATATACAACGAAATAGAACCTCCCTAAAGCATAAATCTCACAGGACCTATATAACAATAACACAATTAAAAAAAAGGTATTTAGGAAAAAAATAACATGATGAATAGAATAGTACCTCATATCTCAATACTAACATTGAATATAAATGGCCTAAATGCTCCACTTAAAAGATACAGAATGACAGAATGGATAAGAATTCACCAACCAAGCTTCTGCTGTCTTCAAGAGACTCACCTAACACAAAAGGACTCACATAAACTTAAGATAAAGGAGTGGAAAAAGATATTCCATGCCAGTGGATACTAAAAGCAAGCAGGAGTAGCTGTTCTTATGTCAGAGGAAACAAACTTTAAAGCAATAGCAGTTAAAAAAGACAAAAAGGGGACCCAGCAGGGTGGCTTATATCTGTAATCCCAGCACTTTGGGAGGCTGAGGCCGGCAGACCACCTGAGGTCGGGAATTTGAGACCAGCCTGACCAACATGAAGAAACCTATTAAAAATATAAAATTAGCTGGGCCTGGTGGTGCATTACTGTAATCCCAGCTACTCGGCAGGCTGAGGCAGGAGAATCGCTAGAACCTGGGAGGCAGATGTGGTGAGCCAAGATCACACCATTACACCCCAGCCTGGGCAACAAGAGCAAACTTTAATCTAAAAAAAAAAAAAAAAAAGACAGAGGGACATTATATAATGATAAAAGGACTAGTCCAACATGAAAATACCACAATTCTAAATATATATGCACCTAACACTGGAGTTCTCAAATTTATAAAACAATTATTACTAGACCTAAAAAACGAGATGGATGACAACACATTAATAGTGGGGGACTTTAATACTCCTCTGACAGCACCAGACAGGTCATCAAGACAGAAAGTCAACAAAGACACAATGGACTTAAACTATACTTTATAACAAATAGACTTAACAGATATTGACAGAACATTCTACCCAACAACTGCAGAATATACATCCTATTCATCAGCACATGGAACATTCTCCCAGATAGACTATATTAGGCCAAAAAACAAGTCTTTAGTACATTTAAGAAAATCAAAATTATATCATGTACTCTCTCAGACCACAGTGGAACAAAATTGGAAATCAATTCCAAAGGGAACCCTCAAAACCATGCAAATACATGGAAATTAAATAACCTGCTCCCCCATGATCATTGGGACAACAATAAAATCAAGATGGAAATTTAAAAATTCTTTTAACTGAATGATAATAGTGACACTGTTCCCAGACCAAACTGAGGGTCGGGCTGTTATTTCTCACAGCCCAATAATGAGATGCAGATAAACTGGGGAGGAAGGGGGTTTTAATTTCTGTAACCAGTTACAAGGAGAAGGCCTGCAAATTATCACTAGACCAATTCAAAATTACAAAGTTTTCCATAGCTCATATACTTTCTAGGCTATATGTCTATGTGTAAGTGTGCATTCATCTAAAGACATAGTGATCAACTTCTTTTAATCTGTAACTAAGGTCTGAGTCCCGAAGACCTTCTTCTGGAGCCTCAGTAAATGTCTTACTTAATCTACATGGGTCCAGATGCTGGGGTAATTACCCTTATCTTGTCTCCTGCTAAATCATGGAGGATTAAGGAGTTCCTTCAGACCCCCAATAAACTTGTTTGTGGAGGCCTGGGAAGTTTCTTCAGATCCATAATAAAACTTTAGTCCTAAATGGGTCTTATTAAGAATTCCTTCATTATTTTATCATGCTTTAAGGCCCAGGAAAGTCCTAGGCAAAACTCTTGGACTTTTGTTACATCCCAGCCATTGTATAAGGACACTGGCTTTTAATATTTAACTTAACCACTCAGTCAGTACTAAAACAGCTGTTAGTGAGACCTGACCTCCCACAACACAACCTATCAAAACCTCTGGGAAACAGCAAAAGTGGTGCTAAGAGGGAAGTTCATAGCATTAAATGCCTACATCAGAAAGCCCGAAAGAGCACAAATAGAGAATCTAAAGTCACACCTCATGGAACTGGAGGAAAAAAAAACAATCCAAATCCAAACTCAGCCTAAGAAAAGAAATAACTAAGATCAGAATACAACTAAATGAAATTGAAATGACAGCAACAACAAAAAACAATAAAAAGATAAATAAAAAAGACTGGTTCTTTGAAAAGATAAATAAATTTGATAAATTTGATAGACCATTAACAAGATTAACCAAGAAAAGGAGAGAGAAAATCCAAATAAGCTCAATTACAAACGAAACAGGAGATATTGCAACTGACACCACAGAAGCACAAAAGGTCATTCAAGACTACTATGAACACCTCTGCGTGCATAAACTAGAAAATGCAGAGATGAATAAACTCCTGGAAACATACAACCCTCCTATATTAAACCAGGAAGATATAGAATCTCTGAACAGACCAATAATAAGCAACAAGATTGAAATGGTAATAAAAAGAAAATGTCAACAAAAAAAAAGTCCAGGACCAGATGGATTCACTGCTGAATTATATCAGACATTCAAAGGAGAATTGGCACCTATCCTAACGACACTATTCCAAAAGATAGAGAAAGAGGGAATCCTCCCTAAGTCATTCTATGAAGCCAATATTACTCTAATACCAAAACCAGGGAAGGACATAGCAACAAAAACAACAAAGCAGTATCCCTAATGAACATAGATGCAAAAATCCTCAACAAAATGCTAGCAAACCAATTCCAACACCATATCAAAAAGATAGTCCACCAAGATTAAGTGGGTTTCATATCAGCGATGCAGGGATTGTTTAACATACATAAGTCAATAGATGTGATACACCACATAAGCAGAGTTAACAACAAAAATCACATGATCATCTCAATAGATGCAGAAAAAGCATTTGACAAAATTCAGTATCCCTTTATTATTAAAGCCCTCAGCAAAATTGGCATAGAAGGGATATACCTTAAGGTAATAAAAGTCATCTATGACAAACTCACAGCCAACATCATACTGAATGGGAGAAGTTGAAAGCATTCCCCCTGATAACTGGAACAAGACAAGGATGCCCACTTTCACCACTTCTTTTCAACACAGTACTGAAAGTCCTATTCAGAGCAATCAGATAAGAGAAAGAAATAAAGGGCATCCAAAGAGGAAGTCAAACTGTCACCGTGTGCTGATGACATGGTTATATATCTAGAAAATCTTAAAGACTTATTAAGATCCTAGAACTGGTAAATGAATTCACAAAGTTTCAGGATACAAAATTAATGTACACAAATCAGTAGCTCTGCTATATACCAACAGTGACCAGGCTGAGAATCAAATTAGGAACTCAACCTCATTCACAATAGCTGCAAAAAATAAAATAAAATACTTAAGAATATACTTAACTAAGGACGTGAAATACCTTACGAAGAAAACAACAAAACACTGCTGAAAGAAATCATAGATGACAGAAACAAATGGAAACACAACCCATGCTCATGGTTGGGTAGAATCAATATGGTGAAAATGACCATACTGCCAAAAGCAATTTACAAATTAAACGCAATTCCCATCAAAAATACCACCATAATTCTTCACAGAATTAGAAAAATGAATCTTAAAGTTCTTATGAAACAAAAAAGCCCACATAGCCAAAGCAAAAAGAACAAATCTGGAGGCATCACATTACCCTACTTCAAACTGTACTATAAGGCCATAGTCACCAAAACAGCATGATACTGGTATAAAAATAGGCACCTAGAACAATGGAACATAATAGAAAACCCAGAAATAAACCCAAATATCTACAGCCAACTGATCCTTGACAGAGCAAACAAACACATAAGGTGGAGAAAGGACACCCTATTCAACAAATTGTGCTGGGATAATTGGCTAGCCACATGTACAAGAATGAAACTGGATTCTCATCTTACCTTATACAAAAATCAACTCAGGATGGATCAAAGACTTAAATCTAAGACCTAAATCGATACAGATTCTAGAAGATAACTTTGGAAAAACCTCTGTAGACATTGGGTTAGGCAAAGACATCAAGACCAAGAATCCAAAAGCAAATGCAACAAAAACAAAGAGAAATAGTTGGTGCCTAATTAAACTAAAAAGGTTCTGCACAGTAAAAGGAACAGTCAGCAGAGTAAACAGACAACCCACTGAGTAGGAGAAAATCTTCACAATCTGTACATCTGACATAGGGCTAATATCCAGAATCTACAAAGAATTCAAATAAATCAGCAAGAAAAAACAAAACAAAACAGAACAAAAAAACAATTCCATCAAAAAGCAGGCTAAAGAGATGAACAGATAATTATCAAAAAAAAGATGTACAATTGACCAACAAACATATGGAAAAATGCTCAACATCACTAATTATCAGGGAAATGCAAATCAAAACCACAATGCAATACCACCTCAGCCCTGAAGAATGACCATAATTTAAAAATTAAACAATAATTGATGTTGGAATGGATGCAGTGAAAACTGAACACTTTTATGCTGTTGGTGGGAATGTAAACTAGTACAACCACTATGGAAAACAGTGTGGAGATTCCTTGAAGAACTAAAAGTAGATCTACCATTTGATCCAGCAATCCCACTACTAGGTATCTACCCAGAGGAAAAGAGGTCATTATATGAAAAAGATACTTGCACATGTATGTTTATAGCAGCACAATTTGCAATTGCAAAAATAAGGGACCAGTTCAAATGTCCATCAGTCAATGAGTGGATAGAGAAAATGTGATATGTATATATACACACACACACGTTATTCACACACCATGGAATGCTACTCAGCCATAAAAAGGAAGGAAATAATGGCATTCACAGCAACCTGTATAGAATTGGAGACTATCATTCGAAGTTAAGTAACTCAAGAATGGAAAACCAAGCATCATATGTTCTCACTCATATGTGGGAGCTAAGCTATGAGGATGCAAAGGCCTAAGAATGATACATTGGACTTTGGTGACTCAGGACAAAGGCTGGGAAATGGCAAGGGATAAAGGACGACACATTAGGTACAGTGTACACTGCTCAGGTGATGGCTGCATCAAAATCTCAGAAATCACCACTGAACAACTTATTCATGTAACCAAACACCACCTGTTCCCCAAAACCTGTAGAAAGTAAAAAAAAAATAAAAATAACAAGAAAAGAAATTTCCTGTCCTAACAATCAATTAATTATTGTATCATATATTGCCAATAGGAGCTAAACAATGAGTATGGGCCAGATTGATCTGTATTTTCTAATAGACCTTATTTTTTAGAGGTGTTTTATGTTCACACCAAAACTCAATGAAAGGTAACAAAGATTTCCTATACATCCCCTTTCCCAACATGTGCATAGCCTTCCCCATTATCAACATCTTCCATGAGAGAGGTACTTTGTTACAACTGTTGAACCAGCATTGACACATTATTATCACTCATGATCCATAGTTTACATTAGAGTTCACCCTTGCTGTTGTACATTCTGTGAGTTTGGGAAAATGTATCATGACATTTATCCCTATCTTTAAAAATAGTAGTACCAACATGAACTTGAATTTGGCCCTTGTATCTTTACAATACTGGTTTTATTTTACTCTCATAGTCATCTTTTGATGCTATAACAGGACCACCTGATTACTCATACTATTTGCAGGTTGTCTCCAAGATTGCCAATATGGGTCACCCAGAATTAGCACAATGGGAAAGGCAGGTTGGATAGGCCATCTTAAAAACCACGAAGACAAATCGTCTTACATTAGAGGAAAAAAGGTAGTGTCTGCCATGACGTCTACCATAAAATCTATCTGAAAATTACAATTGCTTTAAGGTGAAGTAAGTCAGAAGAGTTAATGTCCATTTCATGTTCATGTATGTGTGTATGTTTGAGTCTTTATGTAGTTATGTGGTACTACATAAACTCTCAAATATACACACATACATGAACCACTATGTAATACCACCATATTGTCTGTATATCCAGGGATATAGGCTTGGCTAACTTGTTTTGTGATCCACTGTTGATACATTTGTAAATCTAAATGCTAACTCATGTATTCTGTTTACCTTTCTGAGGCAGGCAGGCTTCAATTGACTTAACAGCATGCTAGCAACTCAGAGACTGTGAAATCTAATCACATTTTGACCCATTCTTAAATTGCTTCATCTGTGAAAAAATGTTTGATGAATGCAGTACTCTTTTGTGAGGGTTTCTATGAAAAATCAATATTAGAAATGATTGTGGGGCACTTTGAAAGTAAAAATTGTTATGAAATGTTAATTATATTCAAAACACCCTTTGACATCAACTTACAGAGAAAAAAGTGTAATTTTTCCCATTATAGACCTTTTTAAGGAATTCCATATTTGGTTTATCCCTAGAATTTTCTATACTTGTGTGTACCGTACTTCTCCTAACCCATTAATGGAATTAGTAAACATCATATAATATTGAAAGATATTTCTATTAGATGAGCTTTCAATTATTCATGGTAATGGAAGAACATTAATGCAGCTCTTACAAAATGACAGACTGTCAGAAAGATCTCAGGAAGAGTGAAGGGCCAGAGAACCTAGAGTCCCTGATCTGTATAAATTTGCTGCAGTGTCTTTATAAAGTGGATAACAATTGTGTTAGAGATCATTTGATCAGGGAGAACCCAGCTCAACTGTGCAATTAAGAGGAACTGGGAGTTAGGAGGAAGTGATCCTCAATATATTAAGGCATTTCAGTTCACTTCTGGATGTCCCACTTGGTAGAAGAAAGTACATTTTTCAGTGTGTAATAGCAGCAGCCACAGCAGCAGAAGTAACAGTAGAAATAGCAGTAGCAGTGATAGTAGCAGTAGAAGTGGTAGCAGCAGCAGCAGCAGTTGGGATAGTGGGAATAGTAACAATGGCAGCAGGAGCATTAGCTAGCATTTTATTAACTGTTACTATGTGGCAGGCACTGTTCTAACCTCTTTACACATTTCAATTCATTTAATTTTCATAACGCTCCTTACAACATGGGCAATTCCCATCTTAGGGAATACTGTCTATGAGAATATTACTCATCAAAAACGAGCAAAGGGCCAAAGGGAGAATAGGTATGCAGTGCTGAAAGTTCAGAGATGCTGCGTAGTCATTTGAAGAGAGCTGAACGGGACTTGTTCCAGCTTAAAAGACAACAGAAATCCTCAGGTGACTAGGCACCTGCTGCCACAGAAAGCTTCTGATGGTGGAGAGAACGCTGAGAAAACTCTACAGTCCTCTGTGTTTAGGATCCCATAACCGAGAAAAGAAGTATAACCTGAAATTAAGGAGGAGAATATTTTTATTCTAAAGATGAAAAGTATAAGAAATGATTTAATCACATATAAAAAATTTATATTGTAAACAGGAACAAAGGGGAAAAAATCTCATACTGGTAAGGGCATTTTTATGAACTGAAACAGGTTGCTGAAGGAGGAAATGGAATCTTTTCCCCTAGAGGCATTTAATGCCAGGACTAATAGCATCAGGATAAAATGATATAAGTAAAACCCTGAGAAAGAAGGGATAAACCTCTAGAGTCATTTTCAGGACTATGGTTTTATAAGGTAATTCTTAAATGTTTAATATATTAGAATGGGAGAAACAGATCTGTGTCCAAATAATTAGGACATCGGTTTCCTTCAGGATTCTGTCTCAATAACCTTGAAGACTGTGGTGAAACAAAAGAACATCAAGGTCAAAAAGAATTAGAAACAAATGTGCTTTATTCTCATTGTGCACTGATATGATAGATAATACTTGAGTTATATAATTATAATTAATTTGAAATGCAGTACTTGAAATTTAAGCAGATGTATTCCTCTCACTGTAACACTGTTAGAGGTAAAATAAAGGAGAATGATTTTATACTCAAATCTAGTAAAATTAGCAATCCATATGGACTTCATTTTATGCAAATTATTAATCTTGTATTTTTACTTTTGCATTTGGGAAGTGGAAGAATTGTAATTCAGAATCGGAATGTTGAAAGTGTCATATTGTTTCTTTTACACATGAGATGATTTACAATTTTAAGTGTTATGCTCTTCAGAAGAAAAATGACTTACATTGAGCCCCAGAAGTCAACATGAGCAGAAAGCAAATGACGTTTTGTTTAGCTTAAGAAAAAGTTTTCCTAGCCACCTAATTTTGGAAAATACTTGGAGAACGTGTGAATAAAAATATAAAATAGATAATGTTCATCCAATAGGTTTAACATTTTATATTAGATACAAAATAAGAACTGATGGGTATGTTAATAGGAGTATTAAATAGAATTTCTCTCAAGGAAAGATTTTAAAGTAAATGATCATAAATCTTGTGCTGATAAATCACTCATCATATAATAAACAAAAAATAATTAAGTGTTTGTCTAAATTTAACATTTTTAGGTGCTTAAGTTTTGCTTGGATTCTATTAATTGGTGTATGTAGTTAAGAAATACATCTTGCCATTCAAGTAGACCTGGTTCTAAATAAAAGTTCTACCACCAACTAGCATAGTGACATATGACCTTGTACAGGTTAGTAACATCTGTAAGTTCTCCATTTCTTCATTTGTAAAATGTGTATAATGATATTATTTACCTCAGTGTCCTTGTGAGGATTAAATTAATTTGTGAATTAAGTGCTTCATATAGTGACTGATGTTTGATAGGTGTCAGTGGAGATAACATTTTGTAATTATTATATATGATTTAAAATGCATGTGATAACACCATAAAGTTTAGGTTAAATAGTATAGGTTAGACAGTTATAGAGGGATATATTTGTACAGTATTTCTTTTGATGTTCTGTATACATCTTCTTGTAAATAAGAATACAAAATAGTGTCTCCATCTTCTCTCTACACATTTGCACATCATTCCAATCTTACAGACCTAGGTGATTGTGCTATAGCCTATAATATGCACAGACTCTAGTCAAACATACTTGATTTCTACTTCCTCTTCTAGTGCATAGTACATGGATGTGGGATAAGTCACCTAGCCCATTTCTGAACTTCAGTTGTAATCTGTAAAATGAGCTCATTGATAGCTAACTAATAGGTTGCTTGGAAGTACAGATATAACAATGTCAAGAATTTCCATAGTTGACATAGAACAGATTTAATACTGAATAAGTAAAGTGTCCACAGCTGCTGTTATTGCAATGTGTGTTTGTCCATTAGAGGCCCCCTTTTGATTACACTTTCTTTCTATTAAATAATGCAAAATAAGGTAATTATAAAATAGTATGTTTAATATTTTTGACTAAAGTTTTGCACTCGCTGAATGGAAGAATAAATAATTAGTTAGGCCTAAAATGGTCATGTGCCATGATGTTATTTATCAAACATTATTTAGTTCCATTTAGCAAATTTAATGCCTACTATATGGAAAACATCATGTTCAATGCTGGCAAAAGGGGATGATAAATGTTAGTAAATTAGATATAGTTCTGCTACTTAGTGACTTAAAATCCAGTGATTGACATAAACACAGAGGTTAATTTATGATTGTCAGTAAAAGTATATGAAGAAATGAGTAAATAGTTGAGTGCAGTGGCTCATACCTGTATACCCAGCACTTTGGGAGGCTGAGGCTGGCAGATATCTTGAACCCAGGAGTTTGACACCAGCCTGGGCAAAACCGATAGAATGATGAAATTCCATCCTTAAAAAAAAAATAAAAAAATAAAAATGCAAAACTTAGCCAGGTGCGGTGGTGCGCACCTATGGTTCTAGGGACTCAGGAGGCTGAGGTGGGAGGATTGTATGAGTCCAGAAGATGGAAAGATCATGCCACTGCACTTCAGCCTGGGTAACAGAGCAAGACTCTGCCTCAAATACATAAAACAAAAATAAAGTACTGTGAGATACAGTAGGAATACAGATTTGTCTTAATGGAGAGAATTGGGAAGCCTCCTTATGCAAGTGACCTAGAAAGGAAGAGAAGGCTGCTATGAAGTGTAAAGGCTTTCTAGAAAACAGCAAGAACAAAGAAAGACTTGGATTTGACAAAGCTCAGAGTGTGTTCAGAGTACTGAAATGTAGGGTGCTGGTGTGCTTACATGTATGTGCAGTTATGTTTATTTGTGAAAAATGAGCTAAGGGTCAGAATATGGGGGAAATAAATTTTAAAAGCATAACTTATAATTATATTGAAGAAGGACTTGAATTCTAGGCAAAGGTGTGTGATCTTATTTTGTATATATTGGGAATACCTCAAAGGCTTTTGACCAAGGAAATGAAAAAACCCAATTTTTATTTGAGAAAGATAATCCTGATGCCATTGTTTAAGATATGTCTGCAGAGAGTGAGTTTAAAGCTGGGAGAGCATTTAGGAAGCTAATGTGAAGATAAGGGGAAAAAGCAGATATCGTCTGACCTAAAGCCTCAGCTGTGAAAATAGAGCTGACTCAAGAGATCTATTCCAGCATGGATAGTTTGGGCTCCTCTGTTAAATAGTGTTTCAAATGACTAGTAAGTCTAGCAGCCTGAACATGCTGCATAGTCCTTTTTAGAGCACATGTTGGAAGAGTTGATAGATGTCCATTTTCCCGTGCTTATTTACTGAAAGACTCCAGGAGAGGTACCTAAATTTGCTTTCTCTGTAAAACATGAATTACTTGATTTCATCATTTTGGTCTCAGAGAGTTTTAAGGATTAATTAGTTGAGAAAAAGTTCCTCAAAAAGAACAACTATGGAACATACGGTTTCCCTGATACAAATAAATCTTATAGATGCCTCCATGTTGTCTTTGGAAGCGCAGTTATAAAAGAAATGCAAAAATTGTGTAAAGTAAAAGATAAGCTGAGATCAACAAATAATAAATCCCCAGCATTAGCTTTTGCATAGGAAATAAACATTTCTGTCTCACTGACAACAGCTTTCTTTTAAAGGAAAACAACCTGATAGCCCTAAGGCCACATTAATATCAGCCAAAGAAACATGTATTGTTTCTCTTCTGGAAACCATAAGAATGAGCATGTTGTATCAAAATGGTCACATATAAATTAGTTTTTTCTGAATCTATAACCTTTTATTTATTGCTGATGAAGTGATATATTTTTCCTAAAATATTTTTTTTTCTTTCTGTGCCGTCTTTCTTTGCAAGTTACCTCTACAAATTTATGTCAAAATATGTATGTTCATTATACTTTCGCCAGTGGCTTGCTTTGATGCAACCATAAATGAATATCATTATGCTGTACAAAGATAATTTATTTTTTAGGCTTTGCCGTCATGCTGTATGTAGCTTGTATAGTTAAAACAGAGAGAAACTGAAATATGTGGGGCCCTAAGAAAGTTTATTGTTTTGTTTTTGGCTTTTTCAAACTGACATTCTCCATTGTATCTCTATAATTTAAGACAACCAGGTATGACATGCACAATTTATTTGCTAAGACAAAGAAGATATGCTGGATAATGCTCTTTGGGGCAGACTTCCAAGTCTCCTCCTTGTCCCCAAATTCAGCCCATTTTTATTCATTTCTGTCTGGCTCCTGATTCTTTGCTGCATCTGTCATTCTCAACTTGACCTTGTTCTTTCTCTTAGGGATGTGTGTAGACTCTCCTTATCCCTATTTACATTGAATAATACTCAGTCATTAGGATGTCTCTGTAAGACTTTATACCCTTAAGGGAAGAGTTTAATGTGCCTTAAGCTGTATTTTTCCAAATATAACATTTAATCTCTCCTTAACACTTTGTTTTCCTACACCCTGTATAGTTGGCATTGCTACATTCTAACTATGTGATATTGGTCAATTTACTAAACTTTGCAGTTCTTAATTTTTCTACTTATAAAATTGTGATAATAAGAATAATTGCTTCAGAGCAGTGTTGTGAGAAAATTATATAGAAAATCATACCATAAATAATACATATAATATACTTAGCTCAGTGTATGGATCACAGTAACAGTTCAGCAATTTCATATTATTATTACTGATAATAGTAACCATTATTATGTAATTGCTCCATATTGTTCCTCATCCTGTGTTCCCAGTCTTGATCAATGTTACCACCATTCGACCAATTTTTAGACCAATGTCCTGAATTATCATTGACACATCTTCACTCATCATATTTCTATGCATTGCCATATTCTTAAGTTCAAGCCACTGTCATTTCTTTCTTGAGTTACTGAAATAGCTAACTCATCTCCCTATATTTCCCTTGCATACTCTGCAATTCATACTCATAATAGAGCTAGAGAGAATTTTGGAAATTTAAGTCTGATCATATTACCTCTTGTTTAAAATGTTTCAATAGCCTCTCATAACTTCTAATATGAAGTCTAAAATCCTTGATATGAGCTATAATAAAAGCCCTGCATGACATGTCCTTTGCCTAATTCCCCTGTGTCATTCATCTCCTCTTTATCACCTTCGTATTCAAGCTTTGGCTTTTCTGAACTTTTCTTATTTTCAAAAATGTCCCCCATTCCATTTCCACCCAAGACCTTTACACACCCCATTTCCTCCTCCTGGAAGGCTCTTATTTCCACTGGGTAACCTTACTCTTCAGGTCTAGTGACTTTTTTCCAGAAGCTTTCCTGATATCTTCCCATTTCACCCCACTGCTGACTTATTAAATTTTCTAGAATTTTATACTTCTACACTACATTCTCTGTGTTATATTCTCTTATTCAGGGTCTGGTATTTAATTTTTAAGTTCCTTGAAAATAGAGACAATCCCATTGTTTTCATCAGTTTGGTCTAATTATATATAACATAGATGAAAATAGATATTTTATATTATATATATTGTATAAATAATTGTTGAATTAGATGAATAAACTATAGTGAGAAGATGCTAGGCTTTGTTAACCAATCAGACCTAAGCTCAAATCCCAGCGTGGCCACTTGCTACCTCTGGTACTTTGAACAAGTTCTTTAGCCTTCTTTCTTTGATTTTGTTTTGTTTCAGTCAGGAAATTGTAAGATAATTATAGTCTCCTCATTATTCTTATAATACTAAAATAAGGAAACATGGGTAAAGCACTTAACATAGAGTATATTTTCTACAAATTTTACTTCCTCTTTTTTTTTCTTTATTTATAAAGTTGTTCTTCCAAAGTAGTAGTACTAACATTGTATAGTGTAAAGCATTCATGCCATTTTATTGTATCTTCTCTTAAGACATATAGAAGATAATTTGGTCCCTCTTGTCAATATTCTTGGAGTGATTGATGACAAACCATTTTAGTGTCCCTAGAAGTGGAGGACTTACTGCCCCTTTTTTTCAAGAATGAATATTCTTTTTTTCCCCTATAATCTGAGGAGGGGATGCAGTGATCTAAACGTAAAAGTACCAGAAAAAAAAAAAAAAATTGTCCTTTTGCTGATTGATTTCAGGGATGTGAATTATTTCAGGGATAAAATTGTTTCCCCCATAATTTAAAAATAATATAATATTATAGTTTAAAGTAGGTGCTCTTCATCTACTTCCTGAAACTCTACAGTGAGGCCAAAGGAATTCATGCTGACTCACCCTGAGTAAAAAATTTGTTACATTCTCATTTCCTCCTACTAATGTATGGCTGTGGTCTTTCTTACAAAGGCCTTTAAATTCACCAAGTATAAGCTCTAATGCAAATCTTGTGTATTTTTTAAATGTCTCTTACTGGACACGTAAAGGTAAAACAGAACAAAGGCACTGAAGACGTAACTCTTTTGGTTTTAGGAATATTAAAATGCAATCTTCACCAGCTGTCCATTTTTAAATTAGATTTCGTTTTTTTTCACATGGGGCACAGTGTGTGTTGGTTAGTATTGGAGCAAGAATTTAAATTCTTAAAAGCTTTGAAGTTAATTCTATATTAAGAAACAGCTGAGAGGTTGAGTATGGCACCATTTCTCCCTGAATCTGAGATCAAGCAGATGTGCCTCTTTCAATCAGTGTTTACTACCATGAGATTTAAAGCAAAGAAAAATTTAAAAAAACAGTTAATGATAGTTCAAATTCACTTTATAGAGTAATGTGTTATAAAATGGAGGATTGTGATGGTTGAAGAATTGGATATGTTTTTCTCCTGGTGTGTGTCATTTTGTGTTGGTTTGTCTTGTCACTAAGTTAATTTGATGCATTTCCCTCAGAATGTGGGGTAGTGGAGTGGTTACATTAGAAGACTGTGACCAAAGTAAAATGAGGGGTGAAAAATGGTTTTAAAAATATAGAACAAAAGCAGTGATTGACACTATAGCTATTCAATTTTATCTTCAGGTTCTATCATTTTCCAGATATTCACTGTAGGAAAAAAAAAAAAAAAGACTACTGATCACAAATGGAAATTTCCTGAGTTCTGTTACTTTCACACCAAACCCCAAAACATTTCACTGAATTTCATATCTACCTACTCCTTCATTTCTCCCATTTTCTTACTTTCTTACAAATAAACCTTCCTTATCAAATCTCATTTTCTGTGCTTTATTTGAGCAATTGATACATCTTACTTTCTTTTAGTATCATTTTCCTTTGCCTCCAAATACCACTGCATCTATGGGGTCTCTCATTTTTAGAGCTTGTTAAAATAAGATGCTATATTATATAGGATAAAAATTATTATATAATACCTATGATGTAAAATAATAAATTTCCCCCATAATTTAAAAATAATGTAATATTATAGTTTAAAGCAGGTGCTCTTCATCTACTTCCTGAAACTCTACAGTGAGGCCAAAAGAATTGAATTTAAAGAATAATTCTGGAATGTCTATAAGTTAAACAGACAACTTGATTTCTGAGTTATAGTCAGATTGACGCCACTTCTTTTCATTGCTGCATTTGAGAAAATAGTGTAGAAACGTACATTCAGACTATGTAAGACATAACTAAGAAACGTGAAAACAAAGAGCAGAAGTCAGGGAAACACTAATGGTTCTAGAGCACTAATGGGAAAATGAGGAAGTACATCAAGAAAGGGCCAAACTGCATCACAGAGAACATAATAACTGCACAACGTTTCAAGGGTCATTTTGACAGGGAAAGTCCAGGGGCAAAGAAGGAAAATGAATATAAAGAGCAAAATGTTGTTAAGCCTTGAAATAGATAGTAATAAAATTTCCCATAAGGAATTTTTTAAAAATATGGCAGACTGGAAAGTATTAGTTGTCCCAAAGGAGTCTTATTTTTCCAATTGAAGTAGCTGCTGCTTATCTGAAACTTAACAGTATGTCATGGCCAAAATAAGCAGGTAGTTATAAGAAATTAAATTTTCCTGGAGAATGAACGAATAATAGTGACCTACAAGTAATTATAATATCACATGATTCACATTCTGAAGAAGGTCAAATAATAAACATAAAATTCAGTTCCATCTGCCAGCATGAATACTTGTTGAGTGCCTACTGTGTGCCTGGCACAGCTAGCTTCACTGTTCTATCTATCTGGATATATATATGGAAGACGGGTGGGTCAGTGAAAGAGATAAAGCCTTTTTATGTAGACAAACACAAATACAAAAACTGTTTTGGAATTTTTGCAGAATTGCAAATGTTATTTCTTATTTTAAAGTCAGACAAAATAGCAAATATTAAACACTTAAATTTTTTCTAGAAGTTAGTATTTCAATTTTACCATAGAGAGATGGTTGCCTTATCTAACGTCTTGAAAAGAGCCACCTTTGATTTTTCTCTTCCTCTCTCTCTTACTTTTCTCTCTTTATCTCTTTCTTCTTCCCCTTTATTAAAAAAATGGTCTTCTCAGTATTTTTAATATAGAATTCTGCAAATGAAGTAAAGAACATTACTAATGTAGGCACTGAACACTTTTCAACGTTTTTCTTTTTAAAGAAAGTGACAGGTTCTACACACTGTTATCTACTAAAAATGAACCCAATTTTGCGTCTGAGAATGTTGCTGTGAAGAAATGCTGCATCTCAACATCAGCCAAAATATGCTAACTACAAAATGAAGCTGAATGAATTGCTTTGCTAGATGAGGTTATTTGGAACTATATTACTGAATTTTGGAAATTATGTGTCCTATCAAAGAATAACTTTTGTCATAATGTCTTCCTTAGCTCCCAGGACATTTATTTATGCCACTCCTCGTCCAGTCAGTTCAGACACCATTTAGAGGAAGTCTCCCATATTCCAGGCATCTACCAGCTTCTAAAGATCTAGAAACAAATAAGAACCAAATTTTCTGTATGATTCACAGAGCAGCAGAGATGACAGACATATTCACATCTAATTATAATGCACAGAGATTGAGGGTTATAATGGAGATATTGCTATGGGAACATAAATGAGTGAACAGTATATCTTGGTGGAGGTGCAGAAGGTATATTTACTGAAGAGAGGAAAGTAAAAAGAGGGAGATTTGTAATCTCTGAAGAAGAGTGTTCAAGGACTTAGACACAGTTTGGTTGTATTTTAAGCAAGGAAATCAATTATGGATTGGTAAAAAGTTAACTCCGGGGCAATTTTTTTTAAGCGTTGGTAACCTGTGAGAAAATGATCTATAGTAAACATTTCTTTTTATTCCTCAGGCAGTACTTAAAGCACTGTTTTAGGAGTTAGATGCTTTACTTATACTATCTTCTTTAATAGTAGTAATAACCCTCTCAGGTAAGAGTTGTTAATATCTTTGTAGAGATAAACAAATAGGTTCACAGAGAATGAGCAAGTGGTTCCATTTATATAGTTAATAATCACCACCAATTGTCTGTCTGATTGAATTAAATATAAGAGAGGAACATATAGAAATGAAGAGACAAATTACAACATTGATAGAAAAGGAGGATTGCGTTTATGCTATGGTTCTTTTTTGGTCCATAGCAAATTGATTCTTTGTGATGAACATAACACCGAAAATACCAAATTTCAATGACCACATATTCTATTCATAATTTTATTTATTATAAAATGCCAACAAAGTTGGTAATTTAAAGAATTGCTTCTCTCCCTATTTTTAAAATAAGAACACAAGTAGATTACTTTTAATAATATCTAGTCTTTTCCTCAGCCTCTTCTATTCTGATAAGGGCTTAAGAAGCAAATGGTTCTGATAGAAAAGAACCACCCTGAAATGTGGATTAAGACTCGTCACCCATAGAAATCCTAGGTTCCACAGTTGTGACCAATACATGGCATTCAAAGTTGATCTCTCAAGAAGAAGCACTGTAGTTTAGAAAACTTCTGAAAGAATTTTTTTCATTGTTGAGTCAAAATTTTGATGAGATTAAAGCATTTTGTTCCACTTCTAGGGTCTCAATGTTGAACAATTTTAGCCTCTTTAAGATGAAAATACTTTTTTTTGAGGTGTTTATTTTTTTTTTACTTCAATAGCTTTTGGGGTACAAGTGATTTTGTTTTTTTAAATGAGTGAGTTACATAGGTGAATTCTGAAATTTTAGTGAACCAGTCAGCCAAGTAGTGTATATTGTACCCAATATGTAGTTTTTTATCCCACAACCCACTCCCAATCTCCTCTATAGGAGTCTTCAGAGTCCATTATATTACTCTGTATGCTTTTCATGCTCATAGCTTAGCTCCCACTTATAAGTGAGAATATACAGTATTTGAGTTTCCATTCCTGAGTGACTTCATTTAGAATAATGGCCTCTGGCTTCTTCCAAGTTGCTAGTAAAAACATTTTTACGTTCCTTTTTGTGGCTGAGTAGTATTCCGTGGTGTATATATACCGCATTTCCTTTATCCATTCATGGGTTGATAGGCACTTAGGATGGTTCCGTATCCTTGTAACTGAATTGTGCTGCTATAAACATACCTGTGCACATGTCTTTTCATATAATGACTGGATAAAAGTGCTTTAAAACAACTAATGAGTCCAGCATTATTTCCAGTGGTACTGGTAATGCATTCAGGCAGAAAATTTTTTTTACTCCTGAATTTTTACCTGAACTAATGCACTTTTTGTATGCCAATTAATGTTTCTGATTTTTTGCATTGCCCCTGAGATATTTTATAGCCTTGGGCAAAAAATGTACTCTTCCAGCTCACGAAGATAAATGGAGAAAATAGTGCCTTTCCTTAATTTATGGGGCTGTCGTAATCATTTAATGTGTGCAACATGCTAAATGCTGTCATTATGGTACAGTATTGGATTTCTTTGTTGTATTATAGAGCAGGATATTCAATAATAATAAGATAGAACAGCTTTTTTTAACAACCTGTGTTCAAGCCACTGATAATAATGAAATTATGCCAGATGAGCTTATTCTCCAACCTCTTCCTGAAGAATCAGGAGGATACAAAATGTTTGATTGAGGAAAAGCATTAATGGACAGAAAGCAAGTGTAGTCATTACTCTGGGGAATGACATAGTTGAACAACTGAACATGCTCTTCAGAAATGATTAGACTCATAACTATCAGTTGTACTAGTTCGGCTTTGAAAATATAGTAGCCATCTCATTTTACAACATAATGTATAGTTATCTCATTTTACAACATAATGTATAGTTATGTCATATAATTTTAGGGAATCTTCTAATGTAAGTTCCTACTGTTAGCAGTGAAAGAAACAGCTGGTCACTAGTGCATTGTTTGAAAGAGCAAGATGAAATAGAAATGTTGTCTAAGAGATGCATTCCTATAATGTTGATGGTGAATCAAAGTGTTTAGAGTAAGAGTTTTATGGCGATCATTTATTATAAACATTGTATTATAATGTCTTTAGTTCACTACTATAATATCCTTGGTTTTTTGAGAAATCCTCTCCCTCATGCTATTCAATAAAAATATCTAATGCACTTTTTCAGGGCTTATGAAAACAATAAATATTGTGACAAATGACTATTAGCATGTCTATGGAGTCTCATTTGAGTACAGATTCTTTTATTGCAGAACACACAGGGCCAACGACTGAACAAAAACATTAGGCTTAATCAGTTATCCTGGAAATTTAATATTGAATAATTCTTTAACTTTGGGTAATAGTTAATCATAGTTACTAGGCATGATTTTTTAACGTCTGTTCTTTCAGGGAAAAATTTAAAAAGCAAACATCATATAATCAGGTCTTCCTGAAATTCTGTTCAGTGTGTTTCTGTCTAATTCTCCTCCAGGACTCTGTTTGTTTCTTTAATGACTAAGATTTCTATTAGATGAGTATTAAATTCTTTTGTTGGTAATGCAACACTTTCAAATATTTCACTAGAAAATCATACACACACATCTGTCATTTTATTCTATAAATTGAAGTTTTCTCATTCTATAACATAAGGAACTCAGTATTTAAAGTTCAAAGCAATCACCAGTTTAATAAACTCTTGAGCTTGTAGTTGAGAGTTCACACACATTTTACAGAAAAGAAACACAGCTAGAGAAAACAGCCTAATCATATAGTCAGTAACTTAGATTTATGATGACTATTCTCCCTTGAATTAAATAAGCTACCCTTATTTGAATAACTGGGGGACATCTAACTAGTATGTTTTTAATGTATATTTTCATTAACATTTCAGAGTACTCTTTCATTCACTAACATTTTTGGTGCATGTGCCATGTCCACTATTCTAGATATGTGGGTTTTTTTAGTGGTTGAAGGTGTCAGGTTAGAAGCCAGATATTATTTATTAGGAATTTACTTCAGTTCTCCATTTTGTAATTTCCTTGTATCTGAGAAATTGTATCTACTTTGTGGGGTTTTTGTGGTTATCAAATACATAAATACATGTATAAAGAATAAAATGAAGCCTGAGCCATGTTATGGTATCACATCCTAGATATTATTAATTACAGTATTCTCAGTTAATCCTCACAATAAGCCTGTTGGGTAATTATTATTATTCTCATTTCACAAGGAGCCATGCTATCCTAAATTATACATCTAAGAAATTAGCAGAATTCAGATGAACTCTTAGAATGGTCTGAATTTCAGAATCATGTTCTTTCCATTACATTGATGACAGGACATTTCAGGCAAAATAAATATTGTGAGCATAAGCATATTGGTGTTGGAATGAGAAGTTTTTTGGTGGTCTACTGAGAATTTACCCCTCTTGATTTTAGAGTTGTGAGTAGGTAATGTTGAATAGTTGGATGACCAGTTTAGAGACAATCTTAAAAGACAGACATTATAATAGGAATTTGCTGAGGTTGACATTTGAAGACATTGATTGTATTTAGATAGGTCTTAAGATGGCAGGAAAAGATAAATCTGTTTGGAAGGGGACAAGATTAGCAAGAGAAGTGAGGATGATTTTGTAGGAATCTAGGTGTGAGGTCACACAGCCAGACTAAAATGGTGTCAGCTAATAAAACCATGTCTAGACAAACATAGATATTTCTGAGATACAAATGATATGTTGATAGACTATAGTAGGTGAATAAGAGGAAAGAGTAACTTACTTTCTAACTTAAGAGATTGGTGTCCTTCACCTAGTAAACAAATCAAAATTGAATACATGTTATGTGTCTGCCCTTGTGTTTAGCACCATGCAGTAAGTGGTAGAACTAGAACTTGAACTCTGGGGTGTTTTGCATGAAGGTCCTTACTCTCAATTTCACTACACTGCCTCCAGCCTATGAGTGCCACTTAGCTATTTTGATTCTCATTCTAGAGATGATGACAATAGGGCTCAAAGATGCCTCAGGTTGTCTTAACAATAGAGTTATCAGTTGTAAATTTCAGAACCTTTGAAATCTTGTTTTGTACTTCCTTATTATTGAGTTCTTTTATAGTTCTTTTATCATAAGTGTGAATCTCTATGAAAAATTATTTTATTTACTTGAGGTTATGCTGTGCCATATGTTTGATGATACATTGGTTCTATTTGCTCTGTGAGTGTGTGTGTGTGTGTGTGTGTGTGTGTGTGTGAGAATATACCTAGGCTTGAGCAGGGCATGGGAGGCAAAATTTCCTCATTTTCCAGAGTGGAATCTCTGAGTCTTTCAAAGGATACTCCTGCATTGGAGATGTCTTATGCTTTTTGCCTTCGCTAAACACTTCTGATCCCGGAGAAATGATTTTCATTCTCCAGCAATGATTTAAAAAATAATTTATCACAAAAATTAAATAGATTGCACTGTAAAAATCATATAATTACTCCTGTAAAACTACAGATGAAAGCATGCTCAGAAAATTATAGTGGAAAGTTTTTAATTAGCTTCTAATTAACTGTAAGCTTATGTTTTAAATGTACCATGCAGAACCTTATAACAAGAAGGCATAAATTAAGTAGCCACTAATATGTAGATGGCAAAAATATTAATACCACCGCTACTAGGGATTTTCACTGGCATTATTTTAATTTTTTTTTTTTTTTTTACTTTAAAGTGGAGTAGATTCTGTAGAGTTGGGGTATCAATCACATGATTATTGAAAGGGCAAAATCTTTTTTCAAAACTTGAGCAATAATCTTTACCGAACTGGCTATGTGGTTGGTGATTTGTTCATCTCTTAAAAAGTGAATAGGCGCTCTTTCAAATGGAGATGCTTACTTGGTTTCATGTTTATTCTTAGCTTTCATGGGAGACCTATCCCTTCAGTAGAAGAAATGCTAGCTTTAGGTCACAGCAAAACTAAGCTTTATTTTTTCCATTTTGTCTAGCCTATATTCCACATGCTAAAGTTGTGAATTGGGTACTTAATTTGGGTGAGAGTCAGGGTATTTTTCAAATTACGTTTAGTGACTTTAACTTGCTGAGTGACCTTGGACAAGTCATTTCAGCTCTCTGGGCCTTAGTGTTCTAACTGGTAAAATTAGAAGGTTAAATTAAATGATCTTTTTACCTAGTGTCACATAAAAAGAATCACATTTCTATATTAATTATATTTTTAAGGTTGTTGGTACCTAAGTTCTTTTAATAATATCTTGGAAATAGAACATTCTATATTCTTTAAAATGTACATATAATAATTGTACATATTTATGGTATGTACCATATTTATGGCAAAACGTGATGTTTTGATAAATGTATAAATTTTGTAATGATCAAATCAGGGTAATTAACATAGCAATGACTTTAACATTTATAGTTTATGACGAGAACATTAAAAAAGTCTCTTCTAGCTATTTTAAAATATATAATACATGATTGTATTATATATCATAGTAGTCATCCTGCTGTACAATAGATCACCAGACCTTATCCCTCCTATCTTACTGTAGATTTGTACCCATTGACAAATATCTCTTCAAGTGTTTTTCACAAAGAAGCCCCTCAGTATTCCGACAGGAGGAAAAACAATGAACTTGCTTTCCATTTATGCAAATTGGATTGCTAACTTCCTATGCAACTAGGATATTTCTGAATTAGACTGCATTTCTGAGCAAAATACCATAAAATTCTTAAGCCCATCCAGAAATCAATAAGATTTAGATCCAATCCCTAGCCACTACAACTTTGGCAATGATGATTATTTATAGCTTTTTGTTTACTTTAGAATTAACAGTAAATGGAGGAAAGAACCTAACAGCTGGCAAACAGAGTTCAAGAATGTATGTTATGATATGTTTTGAAAGGAACTTTCCTCCAAAATATAACTGCCTTGAATATGTTAAAGGAAGTCTGGCCAATGTAAAATAACCACTTGCTTCAAATGTAAAATGTAAATTAGCATATAACTTATATTGTTTCTTTGGACATAAACATGGCAATGATTGCCCCCACCCCCCAAAAAAACAACAAAAAGGAATCATAGGAAACAATTTTTAAACTTATTTTTACATGCTTTTTATTATTGATTAAATAAAAGCACAACTTAACAAAATACAGGCAGTCTTATACTTTATATACAATGATCTTTCTGGGGAGACATGGAGATTAATCTGTCTTCCTCAAGCCAAGTGGGACTGTTCTGTCCTAGGAGACGGGATTTTTAAGGACTGGGGAAGGAAGGGAAAAGAAAGGAAATCCTTTTCCTATTGTCACCACTGCTTACCTTTCCAAAGAATTCTCTTTGGTTCTCAGAAATCCCATGCCCGGGGTAAAATGGAGAGAAAGAAAACACAGGAAGATGAGAGTATATGTTGAGAGGGAAGTCAGGGAATTAGGAGAACAGAATGAGGGGCAAGGTAATCTCTCTCACCCTTTTAGGAAAGGACTCTCATTGCCTGTGCTCCTTCTTTACCTGACAAGCTGCAACTGCCCCTACCCCTACTGTTGCTTTTGTTCCTCTGTAATAAAGAGGTAGAGGAGAAGGGAGGAGGAACAGCTGAGAAGCAGAGAAAGGAAAGAAGAGTTGGCAGTGAAAGGCAAACTCATAGATTGCCTTAAAACTTCCATGGTTGCCACTTCTGGCCCCGTCCCCACTGTTTCATCACCATGGGCTGAAGATAGCATTTAAAGGGGGAGGAAAAGAGAAAGGAACCTGCAGATAGGAAGCTCTAGTCTCTTTCAGTATCCACTGGGTTCTTCACCTATCCCACCCCCTCCCCCTTGTCTGGTACCTTGCCTAGGAGAAGGGCTCTTAACCCCTAAACTTCCAATAGTCCTTAAATGAGCTGCACAATGTTTTTTACTTTGTGAAATTGTAGGTAGAGTTTAGGTGTCTTTGGGGCGGGGAAGGTTCATAGAGTTTCTCTGATTTTTAGATATACTCTGGACTTCATTTGGGCTCAGCATAACCTAACTCATCTGTGCTTTTTAATATTCTTCTTTGGCTTCCATAGGCTCTTCTGAAAACCTAACCACTATATGCACAAAGTTCCTACCATTGGAAAACACCTTCAAATGATATACAGAGAAAGTTACCAGAAAAATCATTTCAAGGTTGGAGACAACCTATTATACTTTTTAAAATAAAATAGGAAATAAGATGGATTGAGGTAATATATATTTGGCTCCTACTCACACAAAAATTTTGAAAAAAAAATGTGTTTAATTTATTTTTTCATTGCTCATTTGTAATCATG